GACGCGGGCTTGGGGTTGTGCGTGGGTGAACTCCAGCCACCCCCACCCCCCCCCCTGCACCTGCACCCACCCTCTCCCACACCCCACACCCACACCCACACCCACACCCACATCCCACACCCACATCCACACACCCGCAACAGATTATCAGAAAGAACTACTCGTGCCGAGAGCATCACTTGTATTTTCACGGAGTTCATTGGCTGAGCTGCTGGTATTGAGTAAAACGCAAGCTGCTTCAAGAATGTTTATACTCAACGTTCTAGATCTAGAGGTGGTTCCGTAAATCGAATTCCGATTTGTTCCCCCAGTACTGTCACGAGATCGTCTGCAAAGAAAAACAGTCATTGTTCCGGTAATAAGCTTTTCCAAACATCTGTCAAACCACAATTGATCAGAAGTAGATTAAAAATCAGCGAAGATCGTTGCAACAGGCGAACTATTCAACGTGTACGACAAGATTTGTTCGATGAATAGTAATATATGTTTTTGTAGTCAGTACTCTGCACAAAATCTCGATTGATTATCTGGTAGAATGCTTCCCTTCTTTAAGACTTGTAGAGAACGATTGAGCTACAGTCTTTTTTGCACTTTCAAAAACGAATCAAGAAGCAAAATATATTTTTTTTAATCAGATGCACATATAGCATTTTTCTTAATCAATAATGTCATTCTTACTTCTTTGAATTTCTTTATTATGTAGCCACAAAGGCTTGCTTTTAATTACTCAATATTTTATAATGAATGCTCAGCATTTTTTTTATTACCGGCTCAGTAACTTTTGTTCAGTGAAAAACTTTCTTTAACTTATCAAATAGTTTGAAAAGTGCAGTAATTAATTAAGAAACACTCAGTGTTTAAGTGTGTGAGTGTCGGTCTTCCTAAGATAAAGACTCACATCCACATCACGAACTATGTTTCAAGGTTTCATATCCATTTCTACTCAGTTTCGTTTTTTCTTTATCTCGACTGTAGGAAACAGGTTCAACAAACAAGAAAAACGATCTGACAACACAAATGTGATGTTAGATTCCATAAAGAACAGAAGAAATATTCGTTAACCAAATGCGACCTGTTGTGGAGTTATCTTTTTAATGGTAAAAGTGTAGTTTATTGGCACAAATCAGTTCAATTTGTTTTTTTCTATGCGTACCTACTTCGAACTCCTTTTGTGATTGTATTTTTAGTTAGTTGAAATTTTTGTGGAATAACAGCCGAAACAAAATAAAAAATAGTTTTGTCTGTGCTGAATTGAAAACTGGGTGGGAGAGTTATTTCGATTGTAAAGAATTTCATCAATATCTCTTACATAAACCGGATTTTTTGAAACAAATGCAGGCATCAGAAAAATGCTCTCATGTTGTAAAAGTGCCACACGTCATCTAGGCAGAAAATAATACTTTTTCAGGTGGTATCACTATAATTTTAAATGGAGTAAACAATAAATTTTATATCAAATAAAAGATCATTGAAAACAGGATTTATTGGTAATAAACAATAAAGGTTATGAAGACTTTTCTATGTCGAACTCTCGAGTTTTGTTTCATTTTATCGACTACAGATATAAGAGTAATTCTTTATGAGATAAAGTTTGAAATAAATGCGATACAGAATTAGGTTTATTTCTTCATCATCTAATGAATAACAACAATCAATTATTACCATCATAGAGAAGAAGTAAAAATGTTTCACTTTATTCGAAAACTTGTTAAATCGAAAACTCTATTTTTTTGGATTGATCATGTTTGTACGATCGTTCAAAAGCTTGGACATAAGAGAACTTTCTTTATCTTGCACTATCTGACGAATTTTATTTACGAATCTTTCACAGACCAAATTATCACAATAATCGAGTCTTGGCAAGAAGTATTGAAGATATTGAGGAAGATGAATCATACCATGAAATGTTAGAAAAAAGGGCGTATTGCACTTTTTCTTTATCTTTCTGCCAAGGAATTACAATGGATCCTCAAAGAGGAAGGTGAATCTTGGACTAGAAAATATCTTCGTAACATAATTTTGATTCAAAATGTATTTATTTTCTTAAAAAATGAAGGAAGAGTTATAGCTGTTGATGAAGTTATATTTGTTCATGATATAGTACCGTGTATGCGAACAAATGTGATCCAGCATTTGCTTCCAGATAACTACATTGAGTTTTGAAATAATGACATGAATCCTAGAAATTTACTTAATCTCAATATCGTAGAACATATTGAAGCAATAATCAAAGATGAAGTTGAAAAAGATGTTACTAGAATCTGGATCTAGCCATTATCTTAAAGAAACACTCAAAATACGAATTTCAAATGTTTTGACAAACATGGAAACAAATAATGAACTATTTGAAACTCTTCCATGTTCGTATCTATGTTGACTTCTCATATGAAAGCCCAATAACGGTCGTCAAAATGATGATTAATTGCATTCATTAAACGATAAAAAAAAAATCTACGTAATTTTGTATCACATTCAGTTCGAACTTTATATCATGAATAATTATTCTCGTATCTATGGTTGGTAAAATGTTATAAATTTCAAGAGTTCACCATACGAAATTTTTCACGATTCGTATTGTTTAATACAAAAAATCTCTTTTTCGACAAACTTTCATTTAATGTAAAATTTATTGTTTACTCTATTTGAAATTATAGTGATGTTTCCGTAGAAAAATATTATTTCTTACTATTATATTAGATAGAAATTATTACGAATAGTCATTCTCTCTCGTTGACAAAATTGAGTGGTTTTGATATTTTCATGTAATAATAAACTCTAAACATGTTTGATGAGTTTCTTAAGCAAGAACTAAACGTCGTGTAGTTCTTTGAATCTCTTGTCTTATCTTCAATACTTGAAATCTGAATTTTAGAATTTAAGATTCACACCGTCTACATCGGATAATATCGTCTTTCTCATCAGATTTTTTCAAAGCGTTTGTAGAACTTTGTATAGATATATGTATTTTGTTTGTAATTTTTCTAAATCATTCTGAACAAGTACGATACAACTCAAGCGAACTGATGATCGTTCTTCACCAGGGAACACGAAATCTAGATCTTTGCATCCGAGACTTACATTCTCTTCCACCCGTGTGGAAGTATTTGGAACAAGGACATTTTGAATAAAGTAAGTTAGTTGATTTTATTAATGAAAATAGTCGAGAATAAAAAACCAAGTAAGGAAAATCTTAATTGTCACATTGTAACAAGAAGAATTCCAAAGGCTTCTTGGAAAGATTTCAATGCTTGTAACATTGAATCAGGGCTTTTAAAAGTCAAAACTAAGTCAAGAAAAGGATTGCTAGGAATTGAAGTATATGATTTTTACTAGGATGATTCAGAAAAGGGTTTAAGCTAATGAGTAATAAAAAGCGCAGTTCATATAATCGTCCATTGTAATCGGTTTGAACGACTTTAGTTATCATTATTATCAGCAGAGCCGCTTGTGAGTAGGTTTAATCGTATAGCCTTGTGCTAGCAATTCATTGGGACCAACTATAAAAGCTATAACGAGTCCTGCATCCATATGCCATTCAATGTGACAATGGAAGAGCCAAGCACCTGGATTATTGGCTAAAAGTCGGATCTTGGCCCAACCGAGACTTGGTACGCTCACCACGTCTCGTTGTAGGTATGCTCCACGATACAATTCTTCCGCTTGAGGATTTTCCGAAGTTGATATGATCCAAAAGTTATAACCATGAGAATGAAATGGATGTTCACCCGCATCTCTGTTCTCCAAAAAGATGTCGACAACGGCTCCATATGGAATTAAGTAGTGTCCATTTCCGTCACTCTGTATAACTGGTAAGGAACTTCCGCTTGTCATGATTGGAGATGGAATGCCGAGTCCATTTGGCGTCGTTGCCATCTGATACAGCAGTGGTAACGCATTCGATGTTACGCATTTTTTATTAAGCGTTTTAGTGGTAACATTATTCGCAGGAGGGCCGTACGTGACATTGTTAAAATATCCACGAGTGATGTTAGAGGAATCTGGAGCAAATGTGATGACAAGTTTTAGATAATGTGTTGCATCCGGAACTATATTTTTTGCTTGATAGAATGGTCGAGCACGTAAGATATTGACATCTTCTGGATCTCCTGAACTTGGATGACTTGATTGTTCTTGATTGACTGGATATGTAGGTATGGAATTCTGTGAATTGAGTGATAAAATAGCCAGGTACAATGGGTTGAAAAATGTTGGATACGGATAACGTGGAGTTGCATATGGAGGAATATAGCTGCTAATATCAGCTGGGTACATGTCTGGCATAGCTTGAAATCGTATGTAAATTGATTTTGTCGGTGCTACTTCGGCGGGTACAAAGTTTTGGTCAAATTCATTCATATTCACATAGAAAGAAACCCGTTGAGCAGCGTTGATGACAAAAGAAGACACTATGTATGGCATTACAGGCGTTTGATCAAGTTCAATAATATGTAATGGTAATCCATCGATTGAAAAAGTATACATGGAAAATGCGGCTGCATTAATGATTCTAAAACGGATACGTGTTGCACCGTTGGTTTGCACGAACAACGACTGAGAAAATTTACCATTCACAACGATAGCGTCAGGTATGGGTTCAATGCCTTTTGGATTGCTTGCGCTTAAATACCATGATAATAATTTTGTTCGTGCAAGATCATTGTACCAATCAGCTACCATTAGTATGCGCTCAGTATCGTAATACTCCTGATTCGGTTCTACTTGTCGACGAATAATCAATGGGCCAATTAGACCGTCTGCATATTGATCCAAATGGTGACCATGGTACCATGCAGTACCTGCAGGTGAAGCTTTAAATGTGTATATCATTTCAGCTTTGGAAGGAATAGGACATTGCGTCGCGCCCACCGCACCGTCCATGTCCTGTGTACCGTTTTGAGACATTCCATGCCAATGAACGGTCGTCGGCTGTGCAAGTTTATTAATTACACGAATTATTAGAGTATCGCCTTCGTATGCTTCGATTAATGGACCCGGGAAGCTATAGTTCGCTGCTACAATCGGTTTTTGTGATGTAGGGTACGGAGTTATTGTATCAATGATCAACGTCCGTGATACGGTAGCCTCTTCCGTTGCTGGCGTTGCAGACATAACTATCAGGAAAATCAGCAGGATTTCCATTGGTTTCTTCTTTTCTTTGATAGGCTAGACAAAAAAGTGACCAATATTGAATTGTTTCTCTCACAAACATGATATATAGCGTCTACTTCGTATTATTCGAATTGAATACTTTGAAACCACTCAACATTATCGTGCAAATCTAGTCATTAATTGTTAACTTTCGAGGAGATGTCAAGCGTCGTTTAGATGCTGAATAGACAACGGTATGAAAATATAGTCTTATCTGACTCGAAAAGAATTGAACAACGTCTAAGAAAAAGAAAACTTTCCAATTAGTGTGCTTTGTGACTTATTTTGTTTTTATTCTCATCTAATTCATAGACACACCTTCTAACTGTTTGTAGAGACGGCAAACTTATGGACAGAGCTGTGGTAACTTAGGAAGAAAAATATTTCAAACATCTTTCTTGATCGGATAATAAGCCTAGTTTTAATATTCCCAGAAGATAGGACGAAGCTTAAAGAAGTAATAGTCCTTAAAAAACAAAGGTCTTCCAATTAAATTTGGATTTAATGAAAAAAAAAACACTATATGTCGCTTTCGAAGAGTACCATATATCTAAAAGATAGGGATTATTGTTTATAGAAGCCTGATTTTCATGCTTGCTGTGAAGATTATCATAAACGAAATAGAAACTGACGAAAGCAAATCACTTTCTACGTCTCTGGAAACTCAGTTTGCATATACTTCGAGGCATCTTGTGAAGAAAGCAAAAATGAAAAATCCAATGATCTTAAGCGATTTGTCAATCTAAAAAATCAATATGATGACTTGGAAATTCGAGGGAAACTAACTCGCTGTTATGATTTAAACTCAAACTTTTGCTAAAAAAGTGAAGTCGAAATGCAGTCATTTCCGCATCAAGTTATCTTTCATGCAAGTCATAAATGCATGTTGTACTCAAGAAAAGCTAATGATACAAGAGACTACATGTGAAAAATTCGTAACCATCTTGGACAAGAACAAAATATGTTGCTGCGTATAGGATTTTTTATATAGTATTCAATGCTAACTTTGTTGGGAATCTTTCTTTCGGTACTTCAAATAAAAGTCCAAAGAGATATCAAGCAATAAGTTAAGTAGTCATTGATTCTGGCAAATCGTTATTCTTTACCGCTACGAGTGCAATATCGAGTCATAGATAACTTGAACTGCTTTGCATTTATTATTATTTGTCGTAGCCGAATAATACAAAAGAAAATGTTAGCACTATAGGCCTTTCAGGAAAAATATGCTTTCCCATGATCTAGGTGCCCATTTTCTTCTCTTGAAAAATCTTTTGTAATTTTTATCTTCATGATAGTGTTTCGAATCACACAGGCACGAAACGACTTCATTTTTCTACTTCTTCAATGTGACTTCAAAGTTTCTCAGACAATCCTAACCACCGAGGTATTTTCGGAGAATATAGTTTACTCAAGACTTAAACTTGGATTTTCTTGTCCATGTTCTCAAATACTTGCTTATCGTGATCACAGTGTCATCGAACGGTGCAAAAAAGAATCAATATTTATCTTAATGTGATTACGGACTAAGACTAGATCAGCGGGATTCATTTAAAAACTGCTAGAAAATACAGTGTGATATACATTTTTGTTTCTTGAGAACGGGATGTTCAAGAACGAAAAACCTGACAAACCAAGCTGAGGTGGAGAACTTACGTGGAATCTTAGCATTGCAGCCGTTTTCGGTACAATATCCTCCCTGAATATCATGGGTTTCTGCTTTGTCGCATACCCTTCTGTATTACTTCCTAGCTCAATCACCGCGTCCTCGAATGATACAAACATCAAAACGATGATTGGTTGTATTTGTTCGCTATAACTGAGTAATTCCTGTGAATAATTCTCTAAAGGATGAGCCAGAAGTGCTGATTCATTTTATATAAAAAAAATTGTCGAAACTGAAATATGTGTTTGTAAATTTGACCCTATGAAGAAAAGACACAGTAAAACACGCTCTATGAAATAACTCTTGATTCACTCTGCTAACTTCTCTGACAAGACAGTTATAAACCTAGAACCATACTTCACAAAAAATAAAAATTAACTCTCAATGTTTCAGACGATAATAAGAATATAGTGGACTAAGCGCAGATTAAGTATTCAGCTCACTTGGATAATCACTGTAAACTCATTCTATAATTAATTTTCGAGGTGTGATGATCTTCACTTTCGATTCCATCATAGTTTAAGTATATTCATCATTTCTCCCTCTATCTGAGTTCGCTATTTTCTTCTCATGTTCTGAAACATTCTGAGTTAATTTTTAATTTTGGGAAGCATATTTCTGAGATTATCATTTTCTTAACAGATAAGCTAACAGGGTCAATCAATAGACACGCTGTAGAGCATGTTTTACTGCATCTTTTAATCATACAAACCAATTTACAAATACATGTTTCAGTTTCAAAAAAACTTATTATACAAAACGAGTCAGCACTTCTTGCTTACTCTTTGGACAATCCTCAAACAATAGCTATTCTGGGAATATCTGCACTTCTAAAAAACTGCCACTTCTAGTTCCTATACTCACATGCTCAAATAATGTCCAAGCACGATTTCACTGTAACAGAACATTACAAAAATTAGCAGTATTGCACTGTTAACACTATTCGCTCTAAAGATATTTTCCTAAGCACATTCTTGGCTGAAAACTTACTTGAAGAGAACTCCTTCGACAAAAATTCGCTAGAGTACTTGTCTTTCATATTGCATTGCACTGGATTTTCAACACGAATAAATGTTTTCAAATGATAGAATACTACAATACTGAATGGTACTATTTCTACATTGATATTTAAAAACTGGATTGATCCCTAGTCTCAATCCTGTTCATTCCTTGAGAAACCCTGAAAGGATCTGTCAGGATCCTGAATCTCAGGGATCCTGCTAAGTTTTATTCAGGATCCTGTCTCGAATCCTAGAAATTCCTGTTTCCAGGATTTGTCGAGGTGAAACAAGATCCTGTTTAGGATTTTTTCAAGTTCCTGCTCAGATATTTT